AAGAAAATTTACGTACTAACGTGATATTTTTTGGATTTGGTAATCTCAAAAAAGTTAGAGAAAACCTATAATCTCAAACGTATTCGATTTACATTAAAAACGCTTACATTTAATTTAAATGTCATGCAAAATAATTTTTGTAAGATAAAATAGATTTATCTATATAGGAGAGATTATTTGATATATGTTGTTTTTAATTTTTTCCGTATATTATAAAAAATTATAATTTTTTATTTTCAAATATTATAATCTCGTTTTTGACGCGAATCAAAAACCTAGTATATCATTATTATGCGTACTTAATGTTTCCATTCACTGTTCTTTTGTTTGTCAACTTTATATTCACCAATATTTTGTTTTTTTTTTTCATATATCATGTTTTGAACAATAAAAATATATATTTCTGATATATCTCATTTATTAAAACAAAACAACTTTATTATTTTGTGCTCCATACAAAAATTATTTCTAAATCCGACATTGGTGGTAACACAAAAGAGTTGGTTCTTTTGTGCCCCGGGTTCAAACCCCTTTTGGTACGGAAGGTAGTTTTTTGAATCGAAATATCCTAAAACTACCTCCGGGTACCAAGGGGATTATGAGCCATTCGAAATTCCCACGGTTTTTTGGAAAAAAAAAAAAACATCAAATTCAGAACCATATTCATCACTCCACTAACACCACTCAAAACGATCGAGAAGGGACAAGTGTCAATGGAGAAATTCTCATATACTTATATATATAAAAAGGGAATAAAAGTTTGAGGAGAGAAGTTGTTCATCGACTTCTTCCTCTTGCTCATTTCTTCATCGCTAATCATATTCAGTTTTCGTTTCTTGTATCAATACAGTCGCAGCCGAATCGGCAGAAACGTGAGCCTCTCTGCTTGAACCCATCACCGTCATCTGAGTAGCTGAACTCGTGGTGGGTGATTTAGACCATTTAAACAAGCTCTGTTTTGCTTATTAACGGCCGATTTGTGTTAAACCGCGGCCAACACGGTGAAAAATTGGTGTCCCGCGTAATACCTCCGATCAGGCCCATCTCGCCACGGTGACCCATCGCCGACCGTCTTTTCGGCGGCCGAATCGACAACTCGACCGAGTTTTAGAACAAGGATTAAAACTAGGGGTGTCAAACGAGTCATTAGTTCATGAGCTGGCTCAGCTCAGATTTTGACGAGCGCAAACTATGTTTTTAGGCTCATTTATTTATCGAGTTAAGTGATCGAGTTTGTGAGTTATGTGAGCCAGCTCAGATAGCTCAGGAACAATTTATTTTTTAATAATTTAAAATAATATATTGATATGTTGTAAATATATTTTAGATTTACCAACTAAATATATATTCTCGTTCCGTTTTAACTACATCAAATGTCCATTAAACAAATATTGAAATCGTCTTTTTCCTAGATACGTCGAGTCTCTACTATGTACTCGATCTTGGTTATTTGGTTTAACAACTGACATATATAGTAATATATTTTTATTCATTTGTTAATTATTTACGTTAAGTGTTATTGTCTCAACGTGTGTGGTATTAGATTGGTTTTGATTTAGCATTCAGTAACA